CCTCTAAATCGCGACATTTCTGATGAGCGTCAAGTGCCCTAACTAGTGAGCTACGAGTTCGTTGTCTTGCCGGTATTTTATCGGGTACTATAAACATTTAGGCAAAGTGTTGTGTTTTACAAATGGCCAGAAAGAAGCCGGCATTCAATAGTGAATGAAATGTGTTGGGAACAATGTGCATACTTAAAACAACGCCAGCCCTAACTTAGTCCTTTTCTGGTTCGAAAACACGTTCCGGAATGCCAATCGACATTCTATGACTTAAATCATATACCGTGTACATCCACAGATTACTAGTAACGAAGGCCTCAGGTCCGATTAGGTATACTTATTAGGTGAATGTTAGTATGCTCAAAGACCATTAAACGTAATTAGAAATTCAGCTGCCAAAATCACCAACTCGAAGACGCAACACTGTTGTCAGATAAACATAAACCGAATACACTGCAGCACACTGTTGGGTGACAGTTAAATATAGGGTCCACTACATCTTATTTTTCGCATCACTGTCTACTGACATTGTAGCAGTAGGCATGCTGTGCAGAATTACGGTCTTAGGCTGAGTTGAGTTTTTGTTTACTTTAGTTTTTCGCTTAGTTTATTTTTAGTTAGTTTAGTTTTAGTTCATCGTTGTTTACGTTTTTGGCAATGTGCGGTGGCTTTTGGCTTAGAAGATATCCCAATAGCAAATCTATATCACCTTAATATCACCCGTTTATTAACACGATACTATCTCTATATCACCTCCATAGAGTTGATGATCGTGACCAATTGGGTAATATTGCGCCATTTGTTTCTTATTGGTTATATTTCTCAGTTCAATTATCAAGAGCAATCGTTTGGCTATTTAAGTAATTACTCCTATAATTTTTGACTTTTGTACGCACTACTTTTTATTTACTTTTTCCTTCCTCTGATATGTTCCACCCGATTTACCCTTATTACAACCTCTACCGTAAAACGGAAGGATGGGTTTTCGCGTGCTTTAGCAGAACCTAAATATAACTTTTACCCACGGTTGCTTTAGAGGAGGGAATTTCAAGACAGCAATGTACACTTACAGTAAACTAAATACGTCTAGGTGGACGCGGACTAGTTTTAAATTTAGTAAAATCAAAGGTTGAACTCAAACGATTACCCGCCCTTCCAACTAATTGCAAAGCAACGCAGATGAAACTGTAGAAACAATTCGCTCAGCAAATGTCATTTGCCTCGACCTGATCATCTCACAACCCAGGTGGATAAGTGCATGCTCCTAACTAAAAAGATTTCTATGCCTGGAAATGCGGAGAAAAGGAGGCCCTTCAATAGAACGGTAAATCTGACAGGAATGCAACAAATTGTTTTTATCTTTTAAAGAAAGTTAATCATATTTACTACAAACAGGAGTATTCAGTTAAAACGACATTGTCTACGTACAAGGAAATAGCAGTAATATCCTCATATGCTAATCTCCGACTTTCGAAAATCCACAGCACAGAAAGCTTGCCCACAAACGACGTAGACGTCGTCCAATGTGTTTGGTTTGCCTCTCTGATTCAATAACAGCCCCGCATCTAAAATGGTAAGCAATGGTTGAGGACCACCAGAACAGTCGAATAAAAAATGACATCTGTCTGGCAGAATAGAGACAATCAAAGGCTCACCTGATGACTGAATGACCACATTCCATTTTCGACATTGTTCCTTCCTGGCAGCGCTAAGTGGCCACTTTGTCTGGTATGAAGTCCTCTTATTGATTGACTCTTCACCGTTTTCTCCTTTAACACACATTCCCATTGGGGATGTATTTGTTTCCCCAAAGCAAAAAGTTGCTCAGCCGTCAGTGTCGGTTGCTCTTGTTCTTCCTGCGCCTCATCATCCTCTTTCTTCCTTTCATTTATCCTTCTACTTCTTCCCATCCCGCCCCTTCTTCTCCTACTCCTTGTAGTCCTCCGCCTCTTGCTGCTCAGGCTCATTCCCCATCCTTCTTTCTTTTGCTCTTGCTGGTTTCCCATTATCATCCATCTCCTTCTCCTCCTTCCCCTCTTCCATTTTCTCATCATACTCCTTCCTTTTCTCCGCTTTAGTATCCTCTTCCGAGACTTTTTCGATAGTTTTTATCTTTGGGAAGAATGCTAACGTTCTCGGCTGTACACACATAACACAGACCTGCCTTTATCCGAAGGACTGAAAGACAATGCTCAGTGAAGTTGATGAGCATCCATCTTGCCCTCCTGCATCCATTCTCCTCATTGTTTTCGTTGTTCCCAACCTCATCTTGCTACTGCTCACCGATTCCCCGTCTCCGTTTCTTCATCCTTGTCATCAGTATGCCTCCAGTCCTCTGCTGCTTCTTGCTCTTCTGATACATCCTCGATGGTCGTTAGCTCCGACAAGAAAGCCGAATTTCAAGACGACGAATACGCCACAGGCCTGCTGATATTGGAAACCAAAAAGGGCAGTTTTGAACAAGAACGAGCGAAAGTGTCAATTTGAGTGAAAAGTGCTCTTGTGTGTATACCGGTATTGGAATCCGTTGTGGCAAGGCGAATTGCTCCCAACTGCCAACTTAACTTCGGCCTGGTTAAAATGTTTTTCGCCGTTTGTGCAGGTGCACTGCGTTAGCGAATGAGCGTCGTGGCCGGAAGAAGCTACATAGAATAAGTATTTTACAGTGATTTTTATGGGCTTACAGATTTCAAATAGTCTAAGCATCTGCAAAGCATTGAAATTAATGCACTTATCTTCCGGAAGTATCCTCCGCACAATAAGTCTTTCGAAAACAATACATGATTCACTAGCATATGTCCACAGACTTCGGGGATTTTCTGCATGGCCAATCATATTCTTGATCCATGCATCTGCCTATTTCCCACGCAATCCTCCGTTTTTTTATTGCATCCCCTTGTTGAACATGCCACAAGGTAAATCATTAATTGTCCATATTCTATGCAAATTGGTCAAGCCAATGATTTTAATTAAACCGGCAAACGAGTTCTCACGAGAATGCACCCGCAGGAACTCGCCATTTGACAGAAGGAAAAGCTTTCCCTGGTAGTCGCTCACCCATCCACGGCAGGGCATGGCTTCGACTTTGAACGCATCAGTCAGACAACTGAACCTCACGCCTGCTGCAGAAAGCATGGCAGTATCCAATTAATAAGTAAAACCTATCTACCTGATGCAGATCTCGCGTTGCGCGAAAAAATCGAGGGCAGAGGGCAAGGTCAAGGTCACGGCGTTGAGTAAGGTAGGGATACTGATTATCATGTAGCCTATTCTCGAGTCATTTCAGTCACACCATAATGCCGACTTTTAACGAGCTTCTTGCTGACCGCTAAAAAGGTATGTGCTTCAAAATATAGTTACTTAATAACATCCACTTTTATCAAGGACTTTGACTGTTATAATAAATTCAAATATATGTTATGGAAAACATACACTAAAAAGTATTCATTCTACTCTTATGGTAGCAAATTATGCTTCCTTTAAAGGTTATAATTAAAGAAAGAATATCCTTCAGGTTTTAGAAAAATTCCTATTTATGAAGTTTTTTACGATTGTGCGGTGTTCATTCATTATACATCACATCTAATATTTTATTAATGCCGCCTTTAATTAATGCAGCATGATCTATATCTAGCGCGTAGTTTTTTAAGCTTGAATTCAGCTGTATTTGTCGGTAGGTTTCAAAATTATTCGGCAACTTAGCAATTTTTAAAACCGAATGATACCTTTCCTGTGAGTATAAAATTTAAAGAAGACGTCATTCGCTACAAAACGAGCGCAAGAAATAATTTGTGTGTATATTTTCTGTAAAATGTATTTGAATTTATATAGGCAGTTAAAATCAATGATACTAATGCGTACTTCTTAAGGACCCATTTTTACAGTACCTACTCTTTTTAGCGGCCAAAAAGAAGTTTGTTTAAAAGCCAACATCATATCGTGACGTAAATGACTCGAGAATAGGCTACACAATAATCAGTACGGTTGAACGGTTAAAGAGCAATCTTTTGCAAATGTCGGCAGTTTGCACGAATTCTGAGCAATGCTGCATACACAGAAAACGCATCCAAAATTAACCAATAAGACGACTTCAAACTAACCAATTTTGCCACTTACCGCTGCCCAAAGCGACAATGTCGAAATTGGAAGGCGGTAACTCAGTCCTCAGATAAACATCTGTACAGATGTCACTAATATTTTGGCTATTTTGATTTTAAAGTCAAAATTAGGCCGGTTCTTCCACCGCTGTTTAACACTGAGAAACCGGAGTTGTTATTGGATCAGA